GGGCTTTTCAAAATCAGTCAGCCGGGCTTTGGCAAGCTTCACCAAGGGCGGGTGGAGGTAAGGAGTAGCCAGTTACGCTTCCCTTAAGGGCCCTCTGAACTTGGGTTTGTATCTCACAAGGTTTCCAACTGCCTGTACAAACAAGAATGATTTTGCACTTACTGCCATTGGTGGGATGAAAAGGAACATGATGCTTTGGTGTTACTTGCTGGGAAGCTCAAAAAACAAATAAACAAAAAGGTCAAATGCTAAAACAAAAATCTGATGAGGATTCACAATAACAAGAAATTATCCTGAGGTTTTTTTTTTTTTTTTTTTTTTTTTTTTTTGAGACAGCGCCTCACTTTGTCACCCTCAGTAGAGTGCTGTAGCATTACAACTCACAGCAACCTCATACTCAAGGGCTCAAGTGATCCTCTTGCCTCAGCCTCCCAAGTAGCTGGGACTACAGGGGTCCACACAACATCTGGGTATTTTTTTTAGAGACGGGGTCTTGCTCTTGCTCAGGCTGGTCTCCAGCTCCTGAGCTCAAGCAATCCACCTGCCTCGCCTTCCAGAGTGCTGGGATTACAGTCATGAGCCACCTCATTGGGCCAATCCTAGGGTTTTTATCTTCTTAGTGATTGTGCAGACACAGAAGGGTTGAGGATAAGGGGGGGGGGGGAATCAAACCACCTTAGAAAATGGAATGTTTAATTTTAAAATATATTTAAAAATTTTTAGATTTAGGGGATACAATTGCAGTTTGATTCCATGGATGTATTGCGTAGTGGTGGAATCTGGATTTCTAGAGTAACCATCATCCAGCGTGTCCACTGTACCCAGGAAGGAATTCTTCATCCCATACCCACCTCCCACCCTTCCACTCCTTCACCCTCCGAGTCTCTGATGTCTATTAGTCCACTCTCTATGGACACATTCTTTAGCTCCCATTTATAAGTGAGAACATGTGGTATTTAACTCTGTTTCTGAGTTGGTCACTAAAGATAATGTCCTCCAGTTCCATCCATGTTGCTACAAAACACATGGTTTCATTCTTTCTTACTGCTGAGTAGTATTCCATGGTACATATATGCAGGTTTTTTTTTTCAGAGATAGGGTCTTGCTCTGTGACCCAGGCTGGAGTGCAATGTCATTATCACAGGTCACTGCAGTCTTCAAACTCTTGGACTCAAGTGACAGTTCCATCTGTTTTCTGAGCAGCTGGGCTAGAGGTGTGTGTCACATTGCCTGGCTAATATTGCTAAATTATTTTTTGTAGGAACAGAGTCTCTCCATGTTGCCCAGGCTAGTCTCCTGTGGCCCCAAGCAATCTTCCCACCTTGGCCTCCCAAAGTGCTGGGATCACAGACTTGAGCCACTGTACCCAGCAGCTTAGTGGTTTTATTTTTTGACACAGTCCTTCCTAGTCACCTTGGGGTTGAGTGCCGTCATAGTTCACAGCAACCTCAAACTCCTGGGCTGAAGTGATCCTCTCTCAACCTCCTGAGCAGCTGGGACTACAGGAGGCCACCACAACTCGCAGTTAGTTTTTCTTTTTAGTAGAAACAGGATTTCACTTTTGCTGAGGCTGGTTTTGAACTCCTGAGTCCAGGAGCTCCACTGCCCTGGCCTCCCAGAGAGCTAGGATAAAGGGCCAGAGTGGTGGTTTTAATTTGCATTTCTGTGATTAGTGACATTGAGCATTTTTTTTCATATATACATTGGCTATTTGTTTTTTTTGGTTTGTTTTTTTTTGAGACAGAGCCTCAAGCTGTCCCCCTGGGTAGAGTGCTGTGGCATTACAGCTCACAGCAACCTCCAACTCCTGGGCTCAAGCGAGTCTCCTGCCTCTGCCTCCCAAGTAGCTGGGACCACAGGCGCCCGCCACAACGCCTGGCTATTTTTTGGTTGCAGCGATCATTGTTGTTTGGCGGGTCCGGGCTGGGGATTCAAACCCACCACCTTAGGTGTACGTGGCTGGCACCCTGGCCGGTTGAGCTATAGGCGCCGAGCCACATTGGCTATTTGCCTGTCTTCTTTTGAAAAATGTTTTTGTCCTTTGCCCACTTGTTTTGTTGTCATTGTCATTGTTTGAGCTCCTTACATTCTGGTTATTAGTCCTTTGTTGGATGCAAGGTTTGCAAATATTCCCATTCTGTAAGTTAGTTGTTCATTCTGATTCTTTTGGTGTGCAGAGGCCTTTTAGTTTAATTAAGTCCCATTCATCTATTTGTCTATTTCTGTTTTTTAGTTCAATTAAGTCCCATTCATCTATTTCTGTTTTTGCTGGATTTGCTTGAGGTCTCATCCATGAATTCTTTGCCTAGGTCAATGTCCAAAGAGTTTTTCCTAGGTTTTCTTCTAGAATATTTATAAACTCATACATTTATGACTTTAATGCATCTTGATTTTTGCATATGGTAAGGTCCAGATTGATTCTTCTGCACATGGCTACTCAGTTTTCCCAGCACTGTTTATTGAATAGGATGTCCTTTTTTTTTTTTTTTTTTTTTTTAAAGAGTCTCACTTGATTGCCCTTGGTAGAGTGCTGTGGCATCACAGCTCACAGCAACCTCTAGCTCTTGGGCTTAGGCAATTCTCTTGCCTCAGCCTCCCGAGTAGCTGGGACTACAGGTGCCAGCCACAACACCCAGCTATTTTTTTTGCTGCAGTTTGGCCGGGGGCCGGGTTGAAACCCACCATCCTTGGTATGTGGGCCTGGTGCCTTACTCACTGAGCCACAGGCACCGCCAGAATAGGGTGTCCTTTAATGTTAAGTTTTTGTCAACGTTGTCAAAGATCAGTTAGCTGGAATCATATGGCCTTTTTTGGTTCTCTATTTTCTTCCACTTATTTATATGTGTCTATTTTTACACTAGTACCATGCTGTTTTTGTTACTACAGTTCTGTACGATGATTTGAAGACAGGTAATGTGATGCCTCCACTTTGTTCCCTTTGACTAGGATTGCTTCTTTGGGTATTCAGGATCTTTTTTGGTTCTATCTGAATTTTAGGGTTGTTTTTTCTAGTTCTATGAAAAATAACATGGGCATTTTGATAGGAATTGCGTTGAAGGTTTATTTCCTATTTTGTTCTAAAAATAGTCAAGTACCTTGATACTAAAGGCTCAAGATACAATCCAGCAATTGAATCAATTCTTTATAAAATGTTTTAACACTGATATTATCTTTTAATCGTGTTACCTTTTAATGCTTACTGCAACAAACTAAAAAATTAAGCGCTGGCAGTTTTACTTTGCAAATTCCCCCATGAACTTAGTATTGCCTTCCCACCCTTACTAACCTCCGACAAAAAGTGATAGACTTACAGGCAAAGATTTCCTTACTGAATTTATTGAGGTCCGAAATGAGTTTTAAATGAGATTTAAAATGAGATTTAAAACTGTTTGGAAGCTAAAAATTTTGGTGCATTAATAAATCACAAACAATTTAGATATCAACACTGTTGAGAGAGGGAGAAGTTGGTGGCTACACAGTATTTTTATCATGACTTTTAAAAGTCAAACTGGTTATGAAAAGTCCTTCTCAAAGACAAAAAGTTTTACCCACAGATAAATTAAATAAAAACATCCAAATGTCTCTTATTGATTCTAACATCTCCAAGGAAACTTGGCATATTAAGAATTTTATCTAAAATATGAAAAAAAATTGGAAATCAGCTATCGCCCATCCATTACCTCACTATTGAGTCATGCCTTTAACAAATCCAAACCTTACACGTTTTATCAACATTATCTTTCACACTAGAGTCCCTCTGAAGCCATCAAGCTCCCCCTAGCTTAAAGCAAAAACCCAGAAGTAGAGGTTTATGTCTAAACATTTTTACTTCAGGAGGGGAAGTCTATAGAGCCATAGTTCTGTTTCTCTTCTCCTTCTCCTTTATGGGAGCCTTTGTACAAGAAAAGCTGAGAAAGTGATCCAGGGTTCCTAACAAAATGCTCTAATGCTTACAAGGACCACATGTAACATCGAGGTTTACTGTTCCATTTTAGAAACTTGGCTGTAGAAGGGTTTCAAGTATTGCCAGCGTTCTCTAGTTTTGCACCTAAACAAGCATTAAACATTTTTTCAGTTTTCATGTACAGAAATCAAATGGAATTTTGTTGCATTGTATTTCTACTGACTTGAAAAAAAAATCTTATTTTACTGAATACAGTAGCCCTTGAAGGTCTTAAATCACTTTACCCCACACTCCCACTTCCATCAATAGCTTTTTGTCTTCATGGGAATATAAAGCTGTCGAATTTCAGCAGCAGAGGCTTGGCTCATTACTTTTCCACTAATCAAATGAACAGAAATGATAGCACTGTAGTTTAAGGATGCATTTCATTTTTCCTAAGACTATGAAGTACTATAGTTGACACTTTATAGCTGCTGCTCAGAATCCATTCTCTGTTGACTACATGGGTATTTCTCCGTGGCTATCAATCCACACTGCACAGGAGCACTTAGGAATTAAAAAAAAAAAAAAAAAAAAGACATAATATCTGGACCCTTGTCCCTCATGAATGAGATAGAACTTCTGGGTAAAATTTCCCAGGCAGTGCCAATGTGCAGCCAGGATTTACTTGGAACCAACCTCTTCAGCAATGAAGTTTGGGAGGAGTTAATTCCACTTGCAGTCCCAGGATTCAAGACTGAGATTTTTAGCCCATCTCCTTGGCCAGTGAAGACTTAAGGAGACATTGGCTAGGGGCTTCTGAGAAATCTTATTCATTATTCTGTGAAAACTGAAATTTTTTCTGACTGGAGTAAAGAGGATGTAACTAACATCTGGATGTGCCAACAGCCATTATTACCAAGAGGGAACACAGCATGGACCAAAAGTGAGGACTTGGAATCAGGCAGGAAAAGTCATCACCTCTGCATCCTTGATGACCACACAAACTTTACTTTACATGAATGCAACCAAGATCCCCTCTGGTTACATCAGGGTGGTTTGGTTATCCTCTACTTGCAACATTAAAAGCCCCCAATTAGAAAGTATAGGAATGGTTAAGTAAAGAAAAGGGTAGACTTTAATCTTTATTTACAGGACACTGCAAGATATGAAATTCCACATAGAAATAAGAAACCCTTTCAGAGGATAGGCTCCATACAGTATGTATGTACAGTTTGGAACTGTTCAAGTATAGTTTTGTTGTAAAAAGTGCTACATTAACAAACCACATTTAAAAAGAGTTCGTAGTAGAGAAATAGTAAGACAAACTTATACCAAACGCAGTACATGACAACTTTGTGCCTCAGCTATACAATTTAAAAGTTAAAAGTCCCAGGAGTCTCATCCTGAACTTGGAATGTATAGCCTTCAGAGGTAGTTTCTGGTACTACATTTTGATCCTCCTCTTCCTGGAAATAAAACAAACAAACACAACAATATAATCCCATAAATATGGCACATCTCTAAGTAGCAGGCTGCCTAGAAGTCTATTTTTATTCTTAAAGTCTTCATCTGCATATTTCACCTTTAACCCTGTACCACATTCTAATATTTGACAAAGAGGGCCACTGAAACTTTGCCAAAATAATGAATGCCTGGGAGGAGGAGGATCCGAATGGTTAAGGCATGCTACTATAGGATCAGAAAACTAAGTCGAGACCAAGCTAGGAGCTCGTGCTTATAATCCTAGCACTACGGGAGGCCCAGACAGGAGGATTAGGTGAGGCCAGGAGTTCAAGACCAGCCCAAGCAAAAATAGGGAGACCTCAACTTTATAAAAAGTAGAAAAATTAGATTGGGCACAATGGCTCGCACCTGTAATCCCAAGACTCTGGGAGGATAAAGTGGGCAGACTGCTTGAGCTTAAGAGTTCAATACCAAGGCTGGGTGCAGTGGCTCACACCTGTAATCCTAGCACTCTGGGAGGCAGAGGCTAGAGAATCTCTTGAATCTCTTCCAAGAATTGGAAGTTGTTGTGAGCTGTCGCCACTGTCTCAAAAAGACTTCAAGACCAGCCGAGGAAGAATAAGACCCTGACCTCTACTAAAAATAGAAAAACTAGCTGCAGATAGTGGTGCACGCTTTTAAGTCCCAGCTATTGGGGAGGCTGATGCCAGAGGAGTGCTCAAGCCCTAAGAGTCTGAGGTTGCTGTGAGCTGTGACACCTCTGTACTCTATCCAGGATGACACAGTGACACTCTATCTCAAAAAAAAAAAAGAAAAATTAGCTGGGTGTGGTAGCATGCACCTCCAGCTACTGAGGAGGTTGAGTCAGGAAAACTGCTTGAGCCCAAAGTTTGAGGATGCAATGAGCTATAATGATGCCACTGAGCCCTAGCATAGGCAATAGAGAAAAAAAATGTTTTTGAGGGGAAAAATATCTTACGGGCTTGACCTTACATGTGTACTTTCCCAAGTTAGTATCACCACTCATTACTCACCTCTACAGAGAAATACTTCTCAATCAAGTTTAATGAAGCCTTGTACGCAGACTCATTTTCATGGTTTTGTAGAGCTTCGATTTTGTCCGCACTTCCACATTCTTCAATCATTATACTAAGTTTCTCAGTTTCACCTAGTTTTTCAGCAGCCTAAAAAAATATATTTCAAGTTTATTGGCTTATACTCTGAATGTTCTATTTTAATGAAAAAAAAATCCATACCTTGAATATTGATATATGTTAGACAGAAAAAGGCAGTTACTTCAACAGCTCTTTGATGGTTTATGTTCAGTTTACACTTTTTGAAACGCAACATGACCAAATCTTAGCAGCTGGTTCTCAAATGCAGCTTTCAGCCAGAAATCTTAATAGTTCTCTAGATTTTCTGTGTATCAAAATCACTTGTGCAACTTTTAAAACACTACACTGGCTGTGCGTGGTGGCTTACGACTCTAATCCTAGCATTCCAGGAGGATCTCTTGAGCTCAGAAGTTTCAAAACCAAGTTTCAAAACCAGTCTGGGTAAAAGGGAGATTCTGTCTCTACTAAAAATAGAAAAAGGAGCCAGGTGCTGTGGTGGGAGACTATAATCCCGGCTACTAGTAGGCTGAGGCAGGATAGCTTGAACCCAGGAGTTTGACGTTGCTGTGAGCTAGGCTGACACTACAGGGCTCTAGCCTGCAAGGCAAGAGTGAGACTCTGTCTCAAAACAAACAAAAAACCACTACCATTGAAGTTCAATTGGTCTGCTATGGAAACATGGAATTATTTTGTAAAAGCACCCTATGTAATTCCAAAGTATAGTCAAAGTGTCTAAGAGCAAAGATGGCCCATGGTGAACAGAAAACAAATTTCCCAGACTATTTGTTGATGTTATTAAGAACTTATTGGAGGGGCAGTGCCTGTGGCTCAAGAAGTAGGGCGCCAGCCTCATATACTGGAGGTGGCGGGATCAAACCTAGCCCTGCCCCCCCCCCCCAAAAAGAACTTATTGGAGACTGGGAGTGATGCCTCACGCCTGTATTCCTCCTACCCTGGAAGGCAGAGGTGGGTGGATTGCCTGAGCTCACAGCCTAAGCCAGAACAAGACCACATCTCTAAAAATAGCCAGGCATTGTAGTGGGGGCCAGCTGCTTGGGAGTTTGAGATAAGAGAATAGCTTAAGCCCAAGAGTTTGAGGTTGCTGTGAGCTGTGACACAACGG